CCGCCTGCACTTATAAGCTACCCCAAACGGACCCTTAGTATTTGCTCTTTAGATTACATTAAAGATATTTGAAAACTTTTGGGTAACTCACGTATTTTTATTAGTTAAATCATACATATCTAGTAGAACAATATTGATTTGTGGACGTACATATAATTGAAAATCATTCTAAGGACTGGGCAGTAGATTCTAAACATTGCACATCTAACGCCTGACCATGATTTTGGTTAAACCAAAAACATAGAAACTTCTGATCTGTTGGTTTTTAAAGCTTCCTTTAAAGTATATAAAGATGCTGTTAAACTTTTTCTATATGATGTGCTTGCATTTCCGTAAAGAAGGCTTCGTATTTTTTATGGGATTCCAATAATTTTTTCTCATTTTCAGGTGCAAGAGGAGGTGCAAAATGCATTCAAACATCATGTGCACTCAGTTACCAGGTCAATTTTGCTTTAGTTACCAAATTGTTGGCATATATAGCATTTTTGTTGGTGTCTGTATGCATAATTCATTTATGCATTTGATAACCTTCTGCCACATATCTTTCACTAGATAAATTAAATGATGAACTTCCCTTTGTGGAAACATTCTATTATTTATGCTTTCACTGTAATGCTTCATTATGTTTTGGCTGTTTATTTTGATGCACAGATAGCAACCTAGAAAATATAAATAAAATATTCTGTTTACTGTAAATCCTTATTTGTATTCTTTATATTATCAAACAGTTTGTAAATTGTGCTGTTTCCTGCAGTAGAATACTGCCTACAACTCTGACCGAGCCCAATGTTAGCAGACTATTTCAGCTTCATTTCCATAATACTTTACCTCAAACAATTTACACGGGCAGTAGAATAGAAGCTGAGGGTGGAGTTCCTCTTCAGGTTCTGATTGTAGATGTTGTCTCAAAATCAATCGTCACTTCTGGTCCTTTCGCATCAGCCAAAATTGAGATTCTCGCTTTGGATGGAGACTTTGGTGATGAGGATGATTGGTCCGAGAAGCATTTTGTTGATAATATAGTACGCGAGCGTGATGGAAAAAGGCCGCTGCTATCTGGAGAGCTGATAATTACGCTGAGCCAAGGAGTTGGATATGTTAATGATGCTTCTTTCACTGATAATTCCAGTTGGATAAGAAGCAGAAAGTTCAGATTAGGAGCACGAGTTTGCTCAAGTAAATTGATGGAAGGAAGAATTCGAGAGGCAAAAAGTGAAGCCTTTTTAGTGAAGGATCATCGTGGGGAATGTAAGTTGATACTTTCAGAATTATTAATATTCTTAAATGTAGGATTTCTGAGAACTCATTTAAATGAAAATTGAGTTTTTAACGCAAATTACATTTTCAATGTACAAAATGTTGCATGGACAGACTGATCAAGCTTGTTCAAAACATACATATAACTCTCACACAGGCACATACTATCAGTAATCTATCACATACTATTGCATTTAAAATATAAGTTTTCCACTCCTATCTATCTATTGAAGCATCATAGGCATATGCAAAATAATCAAAATTTCTGTAATAATAGATAGGCCTTTGTATAACCAGAAGTGGCTACTCAGAAAAACAAGGACCGAATAGCTCTAGCTCTGTCTTCCAATACAAACAAGCCGGCGTGTCCGGGGAGCAAACTACGTAAAGGTCAACTCGTAGCATTAGATGATTGGGTAGAAGTCGGCCACGTACTCTCGGACCTAGTACAAATCGTTGATTACGAAAGGCCAAGTATAGAGAGCAGAGTACAAGAATCACCAGAGGTAGAAAATCTCCCGCATTCGCTAAAGTATTCAGCTGGAAGAGGAACTCTTCAAGACCTAGTTTTAGGCGAGATATGACCAACAAGACAACCATATATGTCTAGAGGTCTAGTAATGATACCGTCTAACTAACTATTTTTTAAAGACCAACTCCTATAAATAGAGGGTATTAAATGTAAACCGGGATTTTCCACATTTTTCACTTACAAGGGAGCCAAGGAAAGAACCTTATAATTGTCATCATCCTAGTTTTACTTGCTTTAACTCAGCTGCTCCAATCTCTCTCCTGCTCTCTCTCTTTTCCTTCACTCTATTCCATAGGTGTGATTTAAGGACAAATCTGGGTTCAACATTCTTAAAAGATGCGACGAGCGTGGAGCATGTCACAAATAGAAAGCAAAGCTATGCAAGGTGAAGAACTAACTCATAGAGAAGTCAAAAGTAGCATGAACTACACTAGAAAATTTTTAACCCATCAGATAAATGAGTTCAAAGAGTTTATAATGGAACTAATAGAGGTACACCTGCTCAAGATGACGTTACCACGGTAGCCGACAACCACTGAAGGGGTGATCTCATCGTTAACCCCCTTCACTGATCCCAGGCATACTATCTCAACAACATGGGCTTGACCCTGTCTGATCACAACAAATGAAGGCATGCTGAGACCCCATGGCCTTGTCAGCTGGAGAATGCCTTCTTCAAGGAGACCTCTGAAACTGAAGTTCGTGAGAGCTTCAAGATCTCTTCTTTGGAACCTTACCGAGGACGATCACACCCTTGCAATCATGTCGCGTCTTTCGAATTTAATGTGTTTGTTGAGAATAAATGATGCATTTAAGTGTTAGCTCCTTTCATGGCTCTAAAGGAGACCACCCTTTGAAGGTTGAACAACTAGCTATTAATAGTAATTAACTCTTTTGTAGAGTTCAATAGGATGTTCATAGTGCAAATTCGCCATTATGCATATGCCCCACAAAAGTTTGGAGTCACTACTACAACTATACCATGAGTACAAAGAGTTCTTCCGTGTTTTTATTAGTCGCTTCCCAAAAGGGATGCTAGAAATAAGAGATCTAAAACCTACAATCGCACTTGCTTCCCTAACTCAGGGGTTGAGAGAGGGCCCATTCCGCTAAGTGTTGGGTCTATAGTGTCTGAATATGTTAGACGAGCTATTGGAAACTTACCAACAATCACATATCAGTGGAAGAGTACAATTCACTCTTGGCCTATCCTAACGACGACTATCCTCTGTCAAGATTGATCTCAGTAATGAGTTTTCTTGATGTGTTCTATAGATACCACCAAATCAAAATGGACCATGTGGATGTTGAAAAAACTACATTCATCACTAAAGGATAATGGATGCATTATTTGATAATAAAAAAATGACAATTTGTTGGTTAGACACCCATCCTTATTCACTTGAACCTTATATTTCAAA